GATACTGGAACCACAGGTCGCCATCCACAAAGTCACTGTCGGGGAAGCATTCACCAAGCATGTCCTTCCATGCAATGTCGAATTCAGCCTCACTATCAACCGTGTAGAATAAGCAAGTGAGGTGAATGCTTAGCTTTTTCCAAACATCCTTGTCCTTCTTAAAATGCTTCTTCTCATTCATTAAAATATGCCACGTACATAATGCATGGAAGACACTTGGCCACTCATTAAGAAGTTCTTTGGCCATAGCCGCATCCTGATCGGTGAAGATGGTGGTTGGGAGCTTCTAATCCATGCAATCACGAAACGCATCAAACAACCACTCGGAAGATGCACTAGTCTCGTCATACAACAAACACGCCCCAAATATGCAAGTCTGTCGGTGGTGGTTGAAACCAACAAACATTCCTACATAACACATTTTGAAAAGTTCATTATTGTCACCGTCCATGGTAATATTCATACATTCCAGACTAGTATTCAAAAAATTCGGACGAGTATTCAAGCTATCATGACTATCACACAATGTATTTGAATAGAAAATTATATGCAAACAACAGAAGAAAACACGTACCCAATGGGCGATAGGCTTTGTTCATACGGTAAGTTGGGTCGAAAGAGATCGAGTCACCAAACAATTTATAATCAGCCCGCATCTGGGCATCCGACCAGAATATGTTAGCAACTTGCTCATTACAATAAACTTCCACGGAATAATAAAATCCAGGTTTGATTTCCATTTTCTTCTGAAAGTACTCCAACAAAAAAGTTGCTTCACCATGTGCCATGTTCTTCTGTCTTTGCTTGTTCAGATGGTTCTTTTGGTCATTCTTCGAGAAGCTAAGATTTTTGTAACCACCAGCACACATAGCAAGTAGCTTGTAAGAAGAGCTCAAACTAACACCAGCATCCGCATTGGCTTCAACCATCAGACCTTCAGCCTCACTAACACTTTTGTTAGACCTCAAAAACTGCGCATGCTCCTTTTAGTGCAGTTCATGATTGTGTATATTGTTAAAATGACTAACCACGAATGCATTCCTATCGACATCCCACCGAAAGGCAACACGAGTTGTACACCAAACCCTTAACTCGTTTCTTTTTCTTTTACGCTGGGTTTTAACAATGACACTATCCTCCGGTCGTTTCTTAATGACCTTTGGATTTCTAGTACTCCCCTTCGAAAAGCCTTGTTTGTTGCAACAATAGTAAAGGTACCAATACTTTTCCTCAAGCTCTCCCTTGTTGTTCTTGCGCAACCTCGTGTGTTCGTTGTATACTCGAACACCAAAACCTCGGTCATGACCATATCTTGAATAGAAGCTCTTGCAATCATCTACTGTATTGAATTGCAAGTTCTTCCTTAAACACTCATCTTCTAGTGCTGCATAGCCTATCATTGGAATTGCACAAATGAATACAATTATTCAAATCCAACCAATAAAAGAATTCAATAAAAGGTCATATAGTATTCATTACAATCTCAACGAATATTCATGACAATCTCAACGAATATTCATTACAATGTCAACGAATATTCATGCAAGCGATATTCATGTTTCTGTTCCTCCACCAGGGATATTCAGGATAGAACGACCAAGTATTCATGCAAGCACAGAACACCATGCAAGAAACCCTAAAACATAATAAATGCAAGCACCATAAATGTAAACCCTAACACATTCAATGCTGATCAACAACCAAAATATATATAAGTCTAAATGAATCTGTATTTTTCGTCTTCACATGACTCCTTCTATTTCATCAACTACGACCATCCACTCTTGCGAGCCTCACAAACCATCAGATGAACCATCCGCTTTGAGGATGGTATCAGCAAGATCCTCTTCTATTTCGTCTCCTTCGACATTACATTTATCGTTTTACGTCGACAGATCTTCATCTTAGACATCATCCCCCATCTTCGACATACTATCTTCTCTTCCATGCATCTCCTTCTTCTCTTCGAAGGACCGATCTTGCATCAGACCTCCCCTTCCTGCGTTTTTCTGGTGTTCTGGATTCTGGTCTTCAATGACGGACGGAGAGAAAAGATGAGGAAGAAGAGAGGTGTGAGATTGAGAGAGAGAAGTTGGTAGGTGAGGTATTAATCAATGATAGCGAGGACTGGCCCAGACCTCACCCATATCTCACTCCTCGGCCCTACCAGTACCTTCAGCTCGGCTTCCCCACAGCTCAAGCGCGCCTCGTCTCCTTCCCCGAGCCCGTGTCCCAGCCGATCAATCCTGGCCCTCCATTGCTGGCTTGGGCGACGTGGCCCTCCCCCTGGGCTGTGAGTTGGTGCACACAGATATCTGTGTATGTACCATAGCGAAATTGATAATATACATACAATAAAATTGGTTCACTATTTCTGAGAAACTGTAACAGAAAATACATGTTCCGTTATATTATGTAAGCCCAAATTTAGAAAAACATATATACGCGTGAATTTGGGAAGTTCGGCGGAAGGGATGGGAAGAAAGAACGGTCGGCCGGCCGTTACAGTTAAGAGGCAAGTCCGGCCACCACAACTAAAAGCCAACTGAGGCGGAGTTGAGGTCACAGCCCCCCTCCCCCAAAACATGCCTCATTTCCAACATGCACACTCCCTAAATTCTTGCTTTCCATTTTCGTTTTCCTAATCTGTTATACACCAATTTAATTATCCAATTCACGCTACGTAACGAGCTAATAGTCGGGAAAAATCCCAAAATACACATGTTTTAAAAAAAAATCCAAAATACATATGTTATAAATTCCCCCCCCCCCCCAAATACACATATTTGGGCATCACCGCGGTTGACGGTCGCGGTGAATGCCTAATGTAACTCCGAAACTTTAAACCAACGTAACTTTGCGCTCGGTTATCCGATTGTAGCAAATATTTTTTGATTCCACATAACTTTTCAAGATCTTTCAATATGCAACAAGCCTTCATCCCAAAAAAAATTCGTTTGCTACCCCGAACGAGCAATTTTTCGATTTTGACAAACTTTGGAAGACCATAACTTTGTGCTCCGCAATCCGAATGTCATGAAACTTTTTTTGATTTCGCATAACCTTTGAAGGACAACAACTTTGATTATAACCATAATTTTGGAATGTATGTGGTTCTGTGAAAAGTAAAGGCAAAGTTATTCCTAAAATCCTGTATACCCAAAAATATTTCTTTTTTCAAAAGTTATTTCCTAGTTAAAGTTTTAGTTCTTAAAAACTTATACGCAATCAATAAAACTTTACGATGTTCGGATTGAGGAGCTAAAATTTATGGCCTTCCAAAGTTTGGAAAAATCGAAAAATTGCTCGCTCGGGGTAATAAACGACATTTTTTTTTAGATGAAGAATTTTTGCAGGTTGAAAGAACTTGAAAAGTTATGTGGAATAAAAATAAAATTCGCTACAATCGGATAACCGAGCGCAAAATTACGATTGTTTGAAGTTTCGGTGATACGTTAGGCATTCACCGCGGCCGTCAACCGCGGTGATGCCCAAATTTGTGGTATTTTGGGAATTTTTTTATAACGTGTGTATTTTGGGAATTTTTTTTAAATACATATGTATTTTGGGATTTCATCCCTAACCGTTGTTGGATTGCCTGTTTCGTGATGCATGATAGTTTGGTGCACATAAGATTAACATTTAAAATTAGGGTAAATGCCAAGTTTGGTCACTAGGTTTACTAAAATGTATCAAGTTTAGTCACTGAAAAAAATTAATATTTAATTTGGTCACTCGAATTAGTAAAACGGTCTATGTTTAGTCACTTTCCATTTACTTTGTCTGATGTGGCGGTCAACGCTAATAGTTGACCGTTAAATGTCTGACGTGGCAATTAAAAAATTAATTTAATTTTTTTAATATTTAATTTTTTAATTGTCATGTCAGATACCATTCATATGTGTGTACTTACCCATTTGATTAATTGTAATTTTAATGATGTGGTAATATTAAAAAAATTAAATTAACTTTTATTAGTTTTTGTAATTGCCACGTCAGATATTTAACGCTCAATTGTTAACGTTGACTACCACATCAAACAAAGTTAACAGAGAGTGACTAAATATGGACCGTTTTGCTAATTCGAGTGACCAAAATTGATATTAATTTTTTTCAGTAACTAAACATGACACATTTTAGTAAACCCAATGACCAAACTTGGCATTTTCCCTTAAAAATTATCATTGCACGCAAAAATTAAATGATCATGGAGTTGGAGTCCACAATCCGATTCTCATTAGGTTAAATAGTAAATGCAATTATGCAACATCTCAAACCTTTTTCTAACAAAATATTGGTTGCTTTGAGCTAGACCTTCACGATTTTGACTTGTTGTGCAATGCTTGGAGGACATACGAAACCAAACACTCACACGTCAGACTGAAAGCCACCGCCTGGTTTCTGTTCTGGTAATCATTTTCTTTTTCTTTTAGGTGACCAATTCTTTTTTTTTTTTGCTAAATTACACGTTTGGTCACTCAAATTAATTAAATATTTCACGTTTGCCACCCGAATTACTTTTCTTTCTTATTCGCCACCAACTTTACGAATCATTTCACCGTTAGTCACCAGTCGTTACACTCCGTTAAATTTGTCCTATGTGGCAGTCAACTATAAAGTTTGACCGTTAACTAAGTGACGTGGAAATTAAAAAAAAAATTACTTTTTCACCTCATCATTCCACTTAATTTATCTACATAATTCATCATATTTATTATTATTTGGGCCACAGAAACAGCCGGCAAACTCTGCATTCCGATGCTCTTTTTCAACGGAGTGGCTTGAATGCGAGGTGCATTTTCCCATGTAAACATATGAATCTCGTGCTAAACATAAACCATTCCTACCAATCTCAATACAAAAACCGAATAGTAGGATGATAATAGGGTAAGATTTTCCTCCTCAATTCTGGTTGAGTCCATAGACTCCCACCCATCGACCTCTCCTTATCCTTGAACCAACTCGCTAGCAGAGCAAGCTTTTCAATCTTCATTGTTGTTCTAATGTTTTGTTTGGTTGTCGAGCTGTGTCTTGGCGTCGTCAATGACGGTGAACCCGTTGAGTGAAAGGTTGGGGATGGCCGTCCTCTCGGTGCCGGCACCGGAGATGAGGACGGAGCCGTCGCAGCCCTGGACGAAGCAGTCGTGGAAGTGCATCCTCAGCAGACCGGCAGCCACGGTGGAGTCGGAGTTGAACGGGGACTGCACTGCGGACCGGACGATGGTCTCGACGCGAGGACAGCTGGTGGAGTAGAACCCGACCCGAGTTCCCTGCCCGTGCACCGTCGTCACCATGATGGCGGCCATTGCCAGGAAAAGCGCTGCCACGCTGACTTTGTTACTACTGCTGGCCATCTCTACTTTGGAGTTGTGACTTATATTACTACTTTTGGGCTTGTTGGGTGGTTAGTATGGGGAAGTGAAGCGGGCTACTTATAGGCGGGAAGTTTGGCGAATGTGGAGGTTGCATTGCATGAGAGGATTGATTGATTAGTGAAAGATGACCGGCGGTTGAAAATTAATTTTTTGTAATTTAATTAATTTTTATAAAATAATTAATATGATAAATCATGTAGACAAAGTAAGTGGAATGATGAGATGGAAAAATAAATTTATTTTTTAATTTTTTTAATTTTCACGTCACCTAGTTAACAGTCAAACTTTATAGTTGACTGCCACGTAGGAAAAATTTAACGGAGTGTAACAGCCGGTGACTAACGGTGAAACGATTAGTAAAGTTGGTGGCGAATAAGAAAGAAAAGTAATTCGGGTGGCAAACGTGAAAGATTTGGATAATTTGAGTGACCAAACGTGTAATTTAGCCTTTTTTTACAGTTTTAGGTGACCAATTCAATGTACTCAAAACCGAACAAATGATAATGCACCAAAAATATATATAAAAAAAGAGATCAATAAACATTAATTATATACTCCAATAGAAGGAAAAGAGAAAAATAAGATTAAAAAAAACTGCAAAATTCTCAGGGGCAAATACATTGCATGTGGGCAATGTTCTAGTGCGGTGCCTCCCCACCGTCCTGAATATCCATTCCCTTCCTTACCACTCAAATACCCACCCACCTTGACGCAATTCCATTTCCATTGTTTGTTTATCTTCTTCTTCTTCGTCTCACCCCCTTTCATTTCTACTTTGCTCCTTTTTGCCCTCTCCGTAGGGTTCACCCATGCTCATCTGGCTCTTCTGATATCTCTCTTGTATGATTCCCGGTTTCCTATTTCTCCAAAGTTTACTGCTGCTGATCGTGTTTGTCGTCGTTGTTTCGCTCCTTTTTGCTCTGTGGAGGGTTTCCCGTTTCTCAACGGTGTTGTGGGTTCGATCTCCCGGAGTTTCTTGAGCTGTGTCGATGTCTCAGCTCTTCGGATTTGCTGGTAAGCTCTCGATTTCCCCGCCTTTCATTTCCTTTGAATTGCTTCTCTGCTTCTGGATTTTGTAGATTTTTGTAAAAGTTTTGAGCTTTTTTCCTCCCTTTATTGTGGGTTGATCGGATGATGGATTGCTTGGTTTTTATCTTCAAAATTTCTTAGCAACTTTAATATCTCGTGTTTTGGATCTGATTATGGGAAGCTAGGAAAGGGTTTGATTCTGGCTAGTGATATTATTGGTTGCTTATGTTCATGTCTGTATAATCTGAGAGAATTAGAGGGTTCGCTTAGTTATAGGTTGAGGTCAACGACTGGAGTTATGTCTTCAAGCTATCTGGACATTTAATTTGATGGTTGAACATGAAAAGGATGACAGATCTACTTCTTTCAGCTTATGATGGAGTTTTTAGCCGTGTTAGTCTTACAGTTGTGTTGTATGTTCTTGAACATAGACTATTTTGTAGAAATTGGCAGTTGTGAATGAGATTATTGAACTCTATCGGTTGTTCTTCTGCAGGAAGTGACGACTTTCACTCCGGGGACACAATATACACGAACCCCAAGGACCCGAGCCTCTTTTTGCCGCTTGGTCACCATGTCGATCTATATTATCCTTCGTGAAAGAGGTCTCGTGTTAGTGTTCCTTTCATCTTCGATGGACGGATGTTTGAGCCAAAGAAGCAGACTTCTATCGAGGTTCTACCTGATGAGTGTCTCTTTGAGGTCTTCATACGCTTGGAGGGCAAAGAAAGGAGCTCATGTGCATGTGTTTCAAAGCGCTGGCTTAGCCTTCTCAGCAGTATCCGCCGGGAGGAACTTATCCATGTGAAAGTTTCAGAAAAGGTGATCTCGGAGTCTGTTGAAGAGACTGAAGGTGAAGGTTATCTTTCAAGGATCTTGGAGGGGAAGAAAGCTACAGATGTCAGAATTGCATCTGTTGCAGTTGGAACTGCTACTCGTGGTCGATTGGGCAAGCTTTCCATTCGGGGTTGCAATTCTAATCGTAAGGTGACAGATGTGGGCCTTAAGGCTGTTGGCTGGTGCTGCCCTTCCCTAAGGGTACTTTCTCTCTGGAATTTGTCATGTGTGACTGATGAGGGGCTTAGTGAAATTGCTGAAGGATGCCACCAGCTGGAGAAGCTTGATCTCTGTCAGTGCCCTGGGATCACTGACAAGGGCTTGCAGGCTCTTGCAAGAAACTGCCCTAATCTCACAGACCTTACAATAGAGTCGTGCCGAAACATTGGGAATCAAGGCCTACAAGTTGTTGGCTAGTCTTGTGCCAATATAAAGTCGATCTCGATCAAGAACTGTCCAGCTGTTACTAATCAAGGAAATGCTGGTCTGGTATCTTCAGCTTCATATTCATTGACAAAGGTGAAGCTTCAGGCTTTGAACATTAGTGATGTGTCTTTAGCTGTGATTGGACACTATGGAAAGTCAGTTACAGATCTTAGCCTCTCCAGCCTTCCAAATGTTAGTGAAAGGGGATTTTGGGTCATGGGCAATGGCCATGGTCTACAGAAATTGAAGTCACTCACTGTGACATCCTGTCGTGGGGCCACTGATGCCGGGCCCGAGTCGGTGGGCAAGGGTTGTCCAAATTTGAAGCAGTTATCTGTCAACAAATGTGCTTTCCTATCTGACAATGGATTAGTTGCATTTGTGAAGACCTCAGCAGCACTAAAGAGCGTGTAATTGGAAGAGTGCCACAGGATCACCCAGTTTGGGTTTTTTGGTTCCCTTTTAAACTATGGCACGAAGCTGAAAGCTTTCTCTCTGGTGAACTGCATGAGCATTGGGGACTTGACTGCTGGAACACCTGTGTCGCCTTCCCAATGTGATTCCCTTCGATCAGTGTTCATCCACAACTGCCCTGGGTTTGGTGATGGCAGCTTGGCCTTTTTGAGTAAGTTGTGTCCTCAACTGCAGAATTTGGAATTCACCGGTCTCCAGGGTGTGACTGATTCCGGGTTGCTCCAAGTACTCGAGGGTTGCAAGCTCGGGCTAGTGAAGGTTAATCTCAGTGGTTGCATCAATTTGTCCGACACAGTTGTTATGGAGATGGCCAAGCACCACGGTTGGACCCTCGAGACCCTGAATCTTGAGGGTTGTAGCAGGATCTCCGATGCAAGCTTTGTCGCTATTGCAAAAGGCTGCCTCTTGCTTAGCGATCTTGATGTCTCGAGATGCTCAATCACTGATGCAGGTGTTGCATCCCTGGCTGCTTCTTCTGGCCTGCTCGGTCTACAGGTCTTCTCTGTCTCAGGTTGTTCCATTATATCAGACAAGAGTTTCTCAAGCCTGGTGGAGTTGGGACAGACTCTTTTGGGGCTGAATGTTCAGCACTGCAGTGGGATCAGTAGCAGCACCTCGGAACTACTTATTGAACGACTGTGGAGGTGCAGTGTGCTTTATTGAACCAAGAACGGTATTCAATACTCATAATTTAGCCAGCAGCAGCAACAGCAGCCTTTGTGTAGTTTCTTTCGGTATCCAATCAGCCTAGTAGGGTTTGCATTCTTCCTCTCGAGGACTCGGTTTCCTTTTTCTTAGGGACATGGCCATTCTCTTTTTTTCGCAGGCTTTACCTCTTCCCGGAGGGTAAGCCTGTTATAAGTCTATTTAGCTCTCCCTAACAAGTGGGGGAGAGCGATAAAACTTTCTTTGTGGCCAGTAGTTTCCCTAGAGAATACAGTCAACTGGGTTCTCGTTCTTCTTCTGCCTTTCCCTAGGGGTTTTCTTCCTTCTTCTTCTTCCTGGTGTTTTAGCTTGAGCCTTTTGATATGGGTTCATTCCCCCCATCATTGGTGTTTGGGTGAAGCTTTTCCTTGTTGGTTCCAATCAGTGTCAAGGAGTCGGTCGGTGAGTCTGCTACTAGCTATGGTCTTCTATTTTGCTTTTTGTAATCATGTTGTGAGACGTGGTGGTTGTTGGGTTTGTGTTTTCGTCGAAGGGTGGTAGATGAGAGGAGAGCCTTGAGAGTCAATGGTCTTTATTTACAGGCTGCTTAATAAGAGTTTAGTGGTGGGAATCTTGTTTGGCCTGTTGGGTTTTTTCGTCTTGGAGTCCTTGGCCATGACAGCATGTTATATCGCTTGCTATGACAACCTTCTTCAATGGAGGGTTGTATTTTTACCAAGCTCCTTGTTTTTCAACAGGCCAAAAAGTCTCCTTCGCCATTGCTCTGTTTTGCGAAGCTTGTAACACTAATGTGTATTATGTAATGAAAGATGATCTCTCCTCCAATTACCCTTTGTTGTTCTGTGACGACGATAATGATAATAAATAAATGGTTCTGATTATTCAGATGTCTCTTTTCTTTATTATGTTTACAACTGTTCGTCTTGTTGAAAGTTGTTATGTATGAAATGGAATGATGGGCCATTAATGTGTCGTGGAAGGTGCTTTGTTTAAATGATGAGGAAGGTTGTCTCCTTTGAAAGTAACAGTATGATATTGAATGGGATTTGCTTTTGACGATAATGGGAATGATGGAATCGGGAAAGCAACGTCAAGAAAGAGACGTTGAATGAGTTGATTCATTGCGCTGCAACATGATCATTGGCGTAGCCAGGAAATTAGTATTGTGGGGTCCAATTATTAATCAAATAATGCTTATGGCTTAAAGGTAAAGGTGTTGAGTTTGAAGCATGGGGTCCAAAGTTCGATTCCCATTCTCCTCCTTTGAAAAATTGCATTTTTGACGTTGGCCTAACCTTCCAAGTGGGGTCCATTGACCCCACATTCAACAACATGGCTCCGCCAATGAACATGATGGCCTACCCATATAATGGGATGTGGAATCTCTTGATTCATTGTTTTGGCCTAGGGCTGTAGTGAACCTTGGTGGGAGCTCCATTTCCCTTCTGATCGACACCATGTTGGTCACGTTTTTCAATCGTATGATTAAAGATGTGATACCGTGACAGGAACCCTTCAAATGCAAATCCGAAATTGAGATGAAAACAAAATGATAGATTGAAATTGTAAAATCATAATCTTTAAGGTCTACGTAAATTTTGACAATTAAAGCAAGGATCGGCTTTGGGATAAACTTAAAAAACTCCGTCATTTGCTTTACGACTAGAGTAGGGCAGGAACTACTAATTTTCTCCGTAATGTAAGAACTCTCCAGGCAGAAATTGACCGGATTAAACTGCTATCTCCGATTGATTGGGAAGCAGTGAAGACCTTGGAGACAGAGCTAAACAGGCAGTGGGAAGCGGAAGAAGTCTACTAGCAACAAAAATCGAGGGTCCGCAGTTAAAAAAGGTGATAAAAACACCTCGAATTTTCATACGGTTATTAGGACTCATCGAAAACATTATTACGTGGTCGGTCTTCGTAATGAGAATGGGTAATGGATAACTAAGGAGGGAGGTAAGGCAGATATTGCCACTGACTTCTATCAATCTCTCTTTTACTCGGAAAATCAGGTGCCTAATATGGCTGAATGGGTGGCTGAGCTACCAATAGATCGACGAGTTATTGATGCCATGAATGCTAGTCTCACAGCAGCAGTCCTCCCTGGGGAAGTAAGGAAAACGGTCTTCTCCACGGACTCGAAACAGGCACCAAGTTCTGATGGTCTCACAGGAAAGTTCTTTAAATCCTACTGGATATTGTCGGGGATTCGGTTATTGCATCAGTATGTTCATTCTTCTCAATGAGCATAATGCTCCGTAGTTGCAATCATACATGGCTGACACTAATCCCCTAAGTTGACAATGTTGAGAACATGAGGCAACTCCGACCTATTAGTCTGTGCCAGTTTATCTATAAAATCATAACCAAAATTATGTCGGAGAGATTGGCGTGCCTGTTGCCACAGATAATCTCGGAGAGCCAAAACGCTTTCATTCAGGAGAGGCAGATTGTGGAGAATATCCTTTTAGGTCGCGAATTAATGCACTACTTGAAAATTAAAACGCGGGGAAAGAAAGGGTACATGACTCTAAAGGTTGACATGGAAAAGGCCTATGATAAGTCGAATGGCCATTTCTCCTAGCAGTTATGGACAAGATGGGGTTTAATTCGACCTGACAGGGGTGGGTGCAGGAATGTATCGGCTTCGTTTTCGGTCCTGATGAATGGCACACCCAAGGGTTTCTCCCCTTCTGTTTATGATTTGCACAGAGGGGTTTGCAGCCCTCCTCCGAAAAGCTATTTCGGAAAAGAAATTGGAAGGGGTCAAGGTTGCCCCCACGTTCTCCTCGTATCTCGCATTTGTTTTTCACCTATGATTCATATTTATTCCTTCGAGGATCTCTTCAGGAATGTGAGAACTTAATCACGGTGCTAAATGAATATGAGGAACACAGCGGCCAAAGGGTCAACTTGACTAAGTCCGCGGTTTGTTTTAGTAGAAATATAGTTGGGCTGGATCAAGAATTCCTCGCTCAAATCCTGGGTGTGGGAGCCGTTGGGGTTCAGGATAAATATTTGGGACTGCCTACCCTGATCACCCGGTCCAAAAATGATACTTTTCGGTATTTGGAAGAAAAACTGCTTGCTTGACTTCAGGGATGGAAGCAGAGGACGTTATCTTGTGCGGTGAAAGAGACTTTGATTAAGTCGGTTGCTCTGGCTTTGCCTTTACATGTCCTATTTTAACTCCCCCTCTCGCTCTGTTGCTTGTTGCCTGTTGGACAAGCATGTTGTCAGGTTTTGGTGGGTGTGGAAAATGGGCAGTCTAAAATTCTATGGATGTTTTGGCGAGATATGTGCAGGAGTAAACATGATGGAGGGATGGGGTTTCGTTGGTTTGAGCATTTCAATTAGGCGCTTCTAGCTAAAATTGGGTGGTGCATCTTGACTGATCCAACCTCTCTTCTTGCCCAAGTTTACAAGGGGAAATATTTCCCAAAAGGAAGTTTCCTTGAGGCTACTGCTCGGTCTCGCCCATCCAGGGGCTGGCAAAGTATCTTGTTTGGCCGCAGCTGTTGGCAAAGGGGCTTAAATGACAAATTGGTAATGGCCAGTCTGCCCCGCTGCTTCATACTAGCTGGGTGCCCCGGTTACACCCCGACGTTCCTACTTTCAATCCCCATATTTTTCCAGAAGGTGGTAAACCTATGGTTGCCGATGTTATATGCCCAGAGGAAGGACGTTGGTGTGACTTAAAGCTTAGCCAATGGTTTGATCCGCCTACTTGTCGTGCTATTAAAGAGATCCCTCTCCCGCGACATGAGGTTGAGGATCGCATCGTGTGGCATGCAACGGTTGCAGGGATTTTTTTGGTGAAATTAGCCTACCATTTGGCAGTCTTGCTAGATAAAAAAGAGGGTAGGTGGCGATCGCTTGGGAGTTGGATGGACAGACCTAGTTGGATTCGGTTATGGGAAACTCTCATTCCCCCCAAGCTGGGAATTTTTTTGTGACAAGTCTTTAATCAGCTCCTGCCTACGACCGAAGCTCTTATTGAGAAGGATATCCAGGTTCATCCTCGATGTCCAGTTTGCTGGGCAGAGTCTGAGACGATGGATCATTTGTTCCTTGATTGCCCAGTTGCTAGGGGATTGTGGGACTATGCGGGGCTGGAATATCTCGGCCAAGTGCTTCCTCGACACACTTTTCCATTATTACTTAAGAAGCTGATGACGCTTATTCACCAACCTCAACTGGTTATGGCCGTTGCTGCAATCCTTTGGAGAATCTGGCATTCTCGTAATTGGGTTGTCTTTGAAGGCAAGCAGTTTGGGATCCCAGCCCTCATGCGACAATTCCATCATTAGTATCAGGAATGGATAAGTTTGCCTGTTGATGGGACTCAGCGAGTCCCTACCACAGCCGATCAACCTGAAGGGGCTTTCACCCCTTATCCGTTTGTTTGTCAGTGGGATGGGGCTATCAAGCATGCGTCCCACACGGCGGGAGGAATGGTTGTTATGAATCAGGCAGGGGTGGTTCTTTTGGCTTAAAGGAGTCCAATTTGCTTGGATTGAAGATCCTTTGGTTGTTGAGGTCCTTTCGCTCCGGGAGGCAATTCTTTGGTGTGTCGCGTCTGGGTTTACGAAAATGTGTTTTGAAGGGGACACAAAGGTGATTATTGACAAAATCAATCAGGCCGATACCAGTGACAGCCAGATTGGAGACCTTCTTGACGAAGTTCTGCATTGCTTATCAAACCATAGTGGGTTCAGTGTGTGGTTTGTAGGTCGGCGTAGTAATAGGGTAGCCCATTTGTTGGTTAGGAAGGCCCTTCATTTGTACCCGACTGCGAGTCGCTTATTTGATTTTATGACCTAGTTAAATTCCAGGATGTAATTAACTTTTTCTGATCAATATATGATTATCTTTTGTCAAAAAAAAAGTGTCAATAATACATACATGGTATGAAATATACTCAAACATGGATGAGTTGTTCTGGTTAATAATTCAGCTTGACCCTCCCCGTAACTGATTTGTGTGGCCTGTTTTAGGCAGTGCTGACGTGGGCATTCAGTATTTGGTTCGATCTTATTTTACCTGTTTCATTCTCAATTTAATTTGTCTAAATTATATACAATTTTACTTAAATTATTTTGAGTTTTACGTTTATTACATCATATTTTTGTTGTGATAAAAGTTATAACTATGTGAGAATATTTATTTCTCAAATAATGTACCTTAGTTTTATTTTCCATTTTGCATGAAAAAATTAATATTTCTTGAACTTTATTTAAAATACATACCTATATTGTATAATATGTCTCGACTCACGCCCGAAGGTAAAATATTTAAGCTAGAATTAAACAAATATAAGTATCGAAACTATATATCCCAATTTGTCACAAGACCTATATGAATATCAAGATACCTATTCTGACTTGCACCCATCACCCGTTTACATGTTCACATGATGACATGAACACTGTTGTTCGCCATCAATGCACGCGGGCAGCCCCATTGATATGTCGATATGAACATCGCATAACTTCAACCTCTATTTAGCTGATATGAACAAAAGACTCCACGGCTTGCCACGTCATAATTTATATCTTGAGTTCTTGAATATGATTTTAGTTCCACTGACAATACAACACTTCAACAAAATTTGACATAACACCACCTTTCTCTCTCCTGTGATCTTTCCCTCGCATTACATCTATAAACGGCAGTCGATCATTAAGCTTAACCCTTCAGTTTCTTACTTTTCGTCTTCCCAGTTTTACTGGATTTCCTTTTCTTTGTCCGGGTTGTATCTTCCAACGCTTCACCATTATTCTGAGCATGATCTTGCTCTTCTTCCTCTCTGCTGCCTTTTCGATCTTCCTTTGCATCATTAACATCTGCCTCCACTACCCCCATTCCAGCCAGAGAGTAGTCGACCAAATACGTACTCCTCACAACTCGGTCTATCCTGCTGAAATGTCTCTGTGTATATGGAATCAGTCCCTCAAGCACCTCGCCGATACCCTTTATCTGTAACCAAAAGGACAATGGACCAACTAGAGCATTCAGGCTACGTTTGGCCTGGCCATAGTTCTTTAAAATGGAGCTTCGGGCAGGAGCTTCTAGCAAAACTAAAGTTTGGGGAAAAAAATTTGTCGGGCATTTGGTGGCTAAACGATTAACAGTATTCACTCACCTCGAGGATCACTGATGGAGAAATGCTGCTGAATACTTGAAACAGCACCAGTTGAGCGATATGACACATCTTCGGTTTTGTGTTCCACTCGCGGGCATATTCGAAAAGCAGACGCAACTGTTCCTGCCCAAGATCACAGAGAGCTTTCTCCATCTGGTGGCGATCATCTTTCTTCCTGTTGCAGAGTGGGAGTAAGTGGGCATAACACAACATCAACAGCTCGACAGGGATTGTTTCTCTTTTTTACTAACCTGCAGATTTCAGAAAATAACTGAAAGAGTTTCCGAGGCCTATTGAGGTCAAATGCTATTTGGATAGCCTTTGAGAAATCACCATCTTGTACAGCATTCTCCAATGTTTGGCCTTTTAATACACGTTCCTCCTGCACAAATGTGGAGAGGTCAATTGTCGGTAACGTGAAAATTTGAAGGCCCGACACCACAATTTATGTGACCAATCACCAATAAGATTGAACGGAGGTTGCAACAAGTGTGTAGCTTAAATATCTGAAGCAACACCAAATTAGGTTCCCTAATCGTCCTAGATTAGCACAGAAAGAGATCTAGAAAGAAGGTTTGGACCTTCTCCTCGTATACTTGATGAAGCTGGCTGACTATAGTAAGTAAAAATTAAACAAAGCGTGAATTTGGAATATGTTAAATGGAAATAGATTCACCTCTTCACGGAATGCTTCCTCCTTGTCAGCAGCAGTTGAATCATACCACAGATTGACTACAGCATCACCACCACCAGTTGCAAACATTTCTGTCTTTTTCCCAATAGCCAAGGCCCAAACCTAAAGAAAGAGCGAAATAAATTATATAAGATATTCCAGAGGATCTTTGTTGGAGAAACATAAAAGCAAGAGACCATCACTTTAAGTGTTATCCATCACCTTGTCCTCGTGTTGATCATATGTGGCGATGCATTCGTTTGTTTTAATTGTCCATAGTTTGACCAATCCATCAGCTCCTGCAGTCATTAGGAGGATTGATTAGAAACAAGATAACGCAATGACCTATGATGAATGGCAAAAAACATGAGGACGGAGCAAGTTCTCATTACCGCATGAAACAAATTGGGTGCCGCGAGTGAGAAATGATGCTCTCAATACACTTGATGTGTGACCTTCAAATGTCCTAATGCAGGATCCATCAGCTATGCTCCATATCTTTATTGTTGCATCACCTGATCCTGTTATGACACATGGATCAACGGGAGAAAACTCGACTGACCAAACTCCTCGCTTGTGTCCTCTGAGTACGACCACTGACACCAGATCTGGTAGCCTCCACACACAAGCAGTGCGGTCCTGAAGGCCCAGAAAAATGGGGGGAACTTGGGAATTAGTTCAGGAAATCGCTTATGACTACACAAGATACAACAAATTGCTGACATCCTCTACTAACCTGCGAACCGGTACACACGAAATGATCATTTGGTGCCACTGCCAGCGAATTTATATCCTTATCATGGGCAGCTACAACTGCTTTCGCTTTCAAACCAGTTGGTTGGTCAACATCATAAGAGATGCCATCGAAACTCCAAACTTTGATTGTACGGTCGCTATCAGAAGGAATAAGTTAATTAGCACCTAGTTTAAAAAAAAACTCAGGTAATTCATGCCACATGAAGAGGAAGCCCTTAGCAAAGCATTAATAAACAATAAAAAGATTCAGCAAAAGAGCAATATACCAGAAACACAATATACTAATATAACCAAAGCAATCACAGTTTGGAGACATATAAACGGAATGGCATCTAAATTTTTTACTGAAACTATTAGGTATCTGCATCCATACAGAGGCCTCCTTAAACCTTGCTATTAGGTTTCGCGGGAAGCACTCACCTGGAACCACTAACAAGAAAGTTTTTCTCCTTCCTTGAAAATGCAACAGCACCAATGCCTCCCATGTGACCCTTGCCAATACCAACACATTTCCGACTTTCTGAATCCCACAACCTAACCTGCAATTTTGTTAGAGCAGATCCAGAGATTAAGGAACTAAACCAGGAAGTAGTACAATACCAAGGACAATTCATTGCAATTATGTGCAAACATGATTAAAATTAGCAGGGGATGGCAGTAAACTTACCGTATTGTCCTTGCTTCCTGTTGCAATAAGTACCCTTCCACAACTTAAAATGCAAGTATCAAGACATAAGATAATGTCTGCATGACCTGACAAAACATAGGAGCATGACTTAGATGCCAAGTCATATACTCGGACCTGCATTGTTCACACCAGAACAGGTATTAGTCATCACAGTCCCTGTAACAAAATGTTAAATTCAAAGCAGGCAGGCAAGAACTTTTAGATTTCAAAATCATACAGCTTTTCTTTGAGACAAGCAGAACCTATAAATCTTTCACAACTTTTGCCGATCCAGTTTCTCAAACAAAAAAGTAATCCATACAAGGTGTTGAGAATCTTAATTCACCATTTTCTTTTCAGTTATGTTAAATTATTAACTCTCTGTCTAACACACATATGGCATCTGTCAGTCAACTTCTTCAAAACATCAAACCCCGTAGAATAAAAGAGCTTGCCTGTTCAAGATTTGTAGCAACAGCAAGAAAGTTTTCCTCCTCGCCCAAAAATTTCATGTCGAGTATTTCCTCATTGTCGCCAACAAGCCTCTTGGTTAATACCAACTGTCCATCAGCAATCGAAGAGTAGAATAGAAACTGTTGATCAGCAGTCACAGAAACCAATCCTCCATCACGGGGAAGAATTACAGCACCAGTGAAGCCTCTTTTTGACTCATCATCAATTTCAGAGGTGACTGTGACATCTGAGGACTTCTGCTCATACAAACACACTGCACTGGCAAGACAGATGAAATGTGAGAACATTTATAGAACATGCTGAAACTCAAGTAACACCAAGAGGAGAAACCAGAAAGTCAAAAAGTATATAACAGGCTACCAGTAAAAAGAGTTTTTGCCCCTTCCTCTCAGTTTTGTGTTTTCCTTAAACAAGTATTGTTTAACAGAATTTACCGTTCAGAGTTCCATATTCGTAAAATGCCACGTTCACCAACTGTGACATAATGAATTGCTGATGTATCACTAATGCCTTTTCCATTATGTGGACTGAGTGCACCCAGAAATGAACTAAAGAGGGTCCCAGTGTGAATTATACATATAGCTTCTAACACCTCATACGCAGGTATAGTCGTCTTGAAGGCATAGTCATGCAGGTCCCACACATTCACAACCTGAAATAATAGTATGTTTGGTAAATAAAACAAAGATACAAATCTATCGAAAAGGAAGATCATAACTGAGGCGGCAGCAGAAACCTCATGATATCCAAGCAAGCAACATCTAAACTAACATCTAATGTCCTCATTTACGGTTTGAAGTCAAGAAGCATCATGACAACATGTCAATAAATTTGGCAAGACAAATTACATCCTTACCTTATCCCTTCCAGCAGTGAGCAATGTCCAACCATCTTCAGAGACTGCCATAGATGTCACAGTTGAAAAATGCTTCGCTAGTGTCGCTACACACTTCTTTCCAAGAAGATCCCAAACTCGTACAGCTCCATCATCACTTCCAGACAGAAGCTAACAAAGAAGGGGGGAAATGAGGATTGACAGATATTTGAAACAGAGCAAACCAAAGATACATGAACGAAAATAAAAACTAATACATGACAGCTTTTGATATCAAAACGGAAATCTTTCCTATGAATTCAAGGTAGACAAACACAAGACAGATGAACAACATGATGTTTTTGTTTATCTTCCTGTGCAATAAATAGGTCCTTGGCAACCAAAGATTGTAACTGGGCCAAGTTCCTTCCTTTCAGTTTCTTGTGTGGTTAGCATCATTTCTGATGAGAATTGCTCTCCCAAATCAGCATTCCTTGAACAGGGTTTCCCAGCACTTTCAATAAAATGTCTTTCCAAAGCAAGCAGTAGAAAAACATCCCGTGAACTCCTTTCCAAATGTCTTTCCATTTGTCTTTCCATTTGACTAACCAAGGCTATTCTTCAGTCATAAAAACATATGAACCAGCAGCGAAGATAAAAGACTTCATAAACACTGTTACATTTAAATCCGAAGAACGCATACTTACAAGAGATCGATTAGGATCAGGATGGAACATAATACAAGTGACAACCCCTGTATGCCCTTTGAAGAAATGAGTACAGAAATGGCCATCCACATCCCACACAAGAACTTTCCTATCAGCTCCTGCAGTTGCAAGCAACCCTCCGGAGGCATGGCACGCCATGGCCATAATCGGACCATCATGGCCCTGCACAAACAGGCATAATCCCCATAATAATCAATCAAGCTCATCCTTAATTGCAGAATGAATTACAACTAACGAAAAAGGAATATGCCTTACCTTCCAAGAGCGCTCACATTTCAGAGTGGACAAGTTCCAGACTCTAATTTGCCTGCTGTGGCCGGCAGAGAATAGCAGTTTATCATTGGGACTAAGCGTGAGCGCCGTAACAGCCTCATTGTTGCCCTCGATGGTACCCTTTATCGAGAAATCACCAGAATCAACAATGTTGATGGTTTCGCCACAAGCACAGGCGATGAAAGAGCCATCAGAGGAGAAAACGAAAGGACCACCAGTGTAGACCTGCTGCAGCGTCGGCACGCAGCGGTAGTTCTTCTTCGGCTGCGGAAGAGCTGACATGGAGACTAATTTCTTGCTCGCCGGTCTTTGGGGAACGGGAAACTTGTTTGCTAGGTTAGCGGCAGCAAGAAGACGTGAGAAGCGCCGCCAGGATTTGCGGAGAAGGAGGGCAGCTAGGAAGGACGCGGCGGAGGCTATGAACGGCCGCTGTTTAGGTTTGTGACTTGTGTTGATGGCGGCAGAGGAGAGTAAGCGAGCTGCCGAGTGGGAAAGAAAGGAATTAGGGATTTAGCGGGGTTTTAGAGTAATGGGCCGGTTGTGTTGGATAGGACCGTTTTTAACCAATTGACCCAAAGAGGCTCGGTCAACCTAAGAACCAACGGGTTTAAATCTCGATCAATATAATAAATGGTTCTTCGTTTATAGGGTCATTTCGGGTGACAACCACTACTATATGCAAATGCAATGATAAAAAGAGTAGAAAACACCCACCAATTGTAAATTATTTTTTCAACTTGATCTGTCAAAAGATTTTACTAGCTTGCAAATAACACAATTTTTTTAAGCAATGGTTTATTAATGATGAACTGATTAACATATCTAGTTTTAAAACTTCTAATAAACAAGACAATAGTACATCAAGTAAGAACTACTACAAAATCAAACATTAAATAAGTTTAGGTTAAAGAGGGAGAGATGGGCCAGAAAGGTGAGTCTGGTGGTTGTTTGAAATTAGAAAGAGGGTGACCCTCATCAAGACAAGAGTGATAGGAGGGTGAAATCGTGAGGAAAAACCGAAAAAGAGACAATTGTGAATTTGTTGTTGATTTTTTCGATGAGTGAGCGTGAGAGGCATATAGGTGAGTCTTAGTTTGCTAGATTTGGGTTAGCTGGTTAGGGACGGGGTCGGGTTTCACAGAAGCTTGGCCATGGGATTGTGGATTGGACTGAGTTGGGTAACTGTAATTAGGTTATGGGCTAGCATGGGTTCGGGCTCTGGGATGAGAGCGGAGAGCTCTTTAGACGAGTGGGATGAGCGGTAGTCAAAGCTTGTGGTGGGAAAGGCTTTTAGTGCAATCATGATTTTTTTATTTGAAGGTTTCAAATCGGATCGGACCAAACAAATTTTCTATCAGCTCCAGTGACAGGAAAGCAAATCTGAATAGCACAACCCAATTCAATTGCAATTGATTTGGTTTATACGATCTGGTTTCTGGTTTGACGGGGAATCATGACCGAATTCCCAACCCTATTCTTCATGAAGCTTATGATTTATGAACTACTCGTCTAAAATTACTTTCTTGATTATTGGACGCTGACACAAATATGAAAAAAAATATTATTCTCCATCCTCATTAGATTAGGGTATATGGTTGACTCAAGTTATGGTGTAACACCCTGATATTTGGGTTCAGGTTTGACCAAAAGAAATAAACGGTTAGATGGACGATTACGTACGAGTGGGTGCAACCGTGAATTAGAGAATAATAATAATATTATTAATAATAATAATAACAATAACATCAACATCGCCATAATTATCATTGGGGACATAATTATTATCATCATCTCCATCATTCACACCACGTTACCACCAAAAAGGAAGAAAGGAAAACAAAAAACAAAAATCCTAACCACTTTACGTTACCCCATTTCCCCTCTCTCCCTCGTCTCTTTATTTCACTTCTGTTACTTGCTCTTCCTTTCATTTTAATTGCCCACGTAACTGAGAGAAGCAGTAGGAATCCTATTGCCACTCTCCCGATTATTTCCCCAACTCAGTGCCTCCTTACCATGAGCAGAACCAGCAGTCGTGTCGTCCATCATCTCCTGTTGCCTCCCATCCTCGCCAGTGCCGCAGCCAGCCCGACAGACACCAAACTTTGATCAATTCCCGGCCGCTCGACGAAGGCATCAGGCCATCCCTCTTCCCGTCGACCAAGCTCGACCGCCAATCTCCCTCCCATCTCGTTCCTCCGCCCGACAGGAGTAGCGGCCGCTCAACGGGAACAGCAGCGGAGACGGAAGCAAAGCGCGATGGGAAGAAAGTAGCGACACGACGTCATCCACCATTAGAAAGAGAGGGAAATGAATGATTATGGTCATTGGGTTTTGCTCGGGAGAAGGTAAGGAACCGTAACTCGGAGTTAGAATCAAGTTTCGAGGTAGTTAGAGGTGTCGTCGGACCTTCGCCGGGACTTCTTCGTAACTCGCCGGAAAAACCAGAAAACTCAAGTACAAGTATTTTTCGATTGGAGGGTACCAATGCAAAAGAGGACGAACCCAGGATCGTCACCGTGTCGATGAAATCGGATTCTGACGTCGGACGAGGGAGAAACGAGCATCTAAAGGTTGGATGAAAAACTGTCAAGTTCAGGTACCATTATGGACAATTCGGAAAGTTAGTGGATTATTTCGAAAGTTTTACAGAGGGGTCGTGGTCAACTATGTTGACTGGAAAATTTTCAATTTTGGTACCTGGTACTTTTAAACTGACAGAATGTTTATTTTGGTCATAACTCGATCAATTGAAGTCCAAACGAGGAACCGTTGGTGCCTATGGAATCGTGAGAACAAGAAGAATTTAATGAGAGCTAGTCATGGAATTTAAGAGCAGAATCAGAGTCGGCTTCGATAGATTCGAGGTGAGTGTAAAGGGGGTAAAATCTCCGTTGATGTCTTTTAGTTTATGTCTTTTAATTTAGTTATGTTGGTTATTTTTCAATTAAGCGCGATTATGTGTGTGAGGCATCCCACCGCCTACCTATGGTGGAGGCACGCGTTGTGCTATGTTTGTGTATGTGTGTGTTGATGTATGGTTATTGGTATGATGAACCCCCGGGCGGTTGGGCCACTACTGGACGTGGTAGATGGTCTGGTCACTACTGGACGACGATACGTAACGCAGTAGTTGACCGGGCATGGACTGGACGACGATACGTAACGCACTACCATTGCCTTGAGGGTAGGGACACCGGACGGCGATACGTAACGCGGTGATTCCCTTGTAATAAGTATATAAGTTAAGATAGAAGTAGAGAACTTTTATGAGATATCAAGGATTAAAAGTATTAAGGATGAAAGCGAGAACGACTTTCTTGTAAGAGGAAGAAATTTCTAATAATGTGTTAGTAAGGGTTTACTTAGAGCAAGACCTTAGGAAGTAACGACGCGACTGGCCCCTTCATACTCACGAGGTTGAGGAAGGGTTAACGGATGAGGATTTCGAGAAGAGGCAAGGCGAGGCGAGAAGCCGCACTAGCATTGGCGAGGTCGCAGGGAGCTTAGCGAGGAGCTAGAGTTAGATTTAGTAGTTGTCTTATGTATCATGATTATGAGTATAAACTGGAGGTTCACGGTTCGAGATTTGTGGGTCAAGTGTTTTGGGATTTGTTATTGCCCAATTGTTGGGGCTTTTTGTTTGAAATTCTTAAACGTTGTCAGTTTGTTTATTTAAAAAAGTGGTTTGGTTGCTCCGGAGTAATCGGTTTTGTGGTTTAAGTTATGGTTTGGTTTTCAAAAAGGATCGGGTCGTTACATATGGTATAGGAGGTTCCTAACCTAAGTTAATTACTAATGCTTATTTGATGTTTTGGTTTTAATTACTTTTAGTCGTTTGGATTTACTGATGAAACCCTATAAGAGGTTTATTAATAAGAATAGCACAGCTAAGGAATCCAAGAGTTCCTTCGAGCAAGAACTCCACAACAGGGTATGATTTGAATGTGTGTTGGTGGAAGTTTCGTGCAATTCTCACGAAGGGAGAAAGGATCGTAAACTATAAGTAGAAGTTCGGCCACGAACAACGTGATTAGCTGAACGATACAAGCACTCAAGCTTGTCCACTGCCTCTTGACTAACGACGTTGGCACAGCTTCCTCTTTCCACGATCACGGACAAAACCTTTCCGGCGACCAAACAGCGAGAATGAAACAAATTTTCTCTTTGACTGGTATCGGAATGAACATCCATGATTAGAACTCGTCGACTAACGGTCATGAGCTTTCCTGGGGCAAGTTCTGCTTCAAGTTTCTCATCGATGTCACTGTCATCTGAATTTTGTTCGTCGTCGGTGAGATATTGACCGTCCCTGATTATTAACGTCTTCAGATTGGGACATTGATTTGCTTTGTGCCCTCTACCATGACATTTATAGCATTGGATGCCTCCAGATCGCTCAGTAAGTACTGGATTTGTATTCCTGGATACCAATTTGCCAGGTTCAGGTCGTGTCTGCTGGGAATTAGAGTTGGAACTTGACTCTGCGACCGCCTTGTTTGCCGGCGTGAACTTCCTCGACGATCTCAGCTGCTTTTCAACCTTAATGGCGAGGTGAAGGGCTTCCTCTAGGTCAACAAAAGATCGAAGATCCACTTCCTGTCGAATCTCGCGGTTCAAACCATGAAGAAATCGCGCCACTGTCGCTTCTCGGTCTTCACTGACATCGGCTCGCATCATCAGCAATTCAAGTTCTCGGAAGTACTCCTCCAAAGTCCTTGACCCTTGTTTAATCCCCTGCAGAGATTCATAGAGTTCGTGTTGGTAATAGGCAGGTACGAACCTATCTCGCATAATTCCACGTAGCTCATCCCAGGTCGCGACCGGATTCTGATTATTTCGTCGCCGGCGAAGCTGCAGCTGCTCCCACCACTGGGCGGCGTAATCCGAGAATTCTTAAGTAGCCATAGCTACTTTCTGGCCTTCAGTAAACTGTCCACATTGGAAGAAAAGCACAATCTTCCTTTCCTAGTCGAGATATGTCGAGGGATTCATTGTCCCCTGAAACGGTGGTACTGACAGCTTGATGCCGGAGGGATTGCCGGTTCTGCTTCTTGCTGTCGTTCGCGACGATCACGATGTCGACGTTCTCGATTGGGATGAGCAATGACGAGACGCCATTCAAGCTCCGCGATTCTATCCATCACTGCTAGATTGCCAGCTGGGTTTTCTCCGCTGGGAGCTTCCTTTGTTCGAACCCGATTCTCCGGCCGAGCAATAGTCTCAAATTGCCGATCAATTTCTTGTTTAAATTGCCCTAATTGATCTCGAATTTGAGTCTGAACCATCTCCTCCATTCAATCCAACAATTCCTACATGTCTAACGTCTGTCCCGCCATTTCTATTTGCTCCTTCTTCTTCGTTGATTCTGGAAACACAAAAGTAGGGTCTTCCGACACAGGTCCTTTTGACCTTGTCCAGGGCGTCGTTGTGACAACGCCTTCCTTCGTTCTGTCCACTGTGTAGAACCAGTTTCTGATGCCACTTGATGAACCCCTAGAAGAGGTTTATTGATCAGAATAACATAGCTAAGGAATCCAAGACTTCCATTTATATACCTTCCCATCCCCTCCAACCGACGAGACCAATCCACTGAACAACTCTCCTCCTTCTCTGCACGGAATCTTTTTTCCCTCAACGGGAAAAAAAAGAAACACCGGGAAGGAAAACCAAAAAAACAAAAAACATGAAAAAATGATTCTCCAGAGCTCCTCGACGCCGGCCCTCAAGAACCTTGTGGGGCATTGCTGCGTGGTACCTGAAATCGATGCTAGTCTGACATCCCATGTCAGCCCTAAATACTCCCCTTTCCGCCATGCGCCGACCTCGCCGTCTCTGAAGTGGACATCATCAGAGGGAGATCTGAAATTGTTTTCCTCCAACAAGGGGAAATCCAAGAAGCAGCCCAAAGAGGGAACGAACCATCACCACTACTCAAAGCGCCGGCCTCCCTCGCCGTCGACGGCGATCGTGGCTGTGCCGGCTTTGTCGAGGACGGCGCCGCCGCTGCAGAGGACCTCCTTGGAAGGGGATCCGAAATTGGGGGGGGGGGAATTTCATCGATCGCGGCGATGGAGTCGGCGGGAGGATCCGGCGGCGGAGGCAAGGGAGGGTTTTCGGACAGCGGCGAGGAAGGGGCTTGGAGTGAGATGCCGCGGCCAGGGATGGAATCCATGGACAGATATTACAGGGATATGACCACAATGTACCTAGGCGACGGGCATTGCCTTTCCAATTACGCCAAGTTCTTGAATAAGACCCGCGGCGACGCCACGAGAGCGGAGGAGTATTGCGAGTGAGCCATCCTGGTGACGTCGGCGACGGCGGCGTCCTGTCCATGTACGACGACCTCATTTGGAATCACCACAGGGACGACGACCGTGCTAACACCTACTTCAATCAGGCCGTCCAGTCTTCCCCCAGCGACTGGTAAATCCCTTTGTGCCGATCAATCAATGTTCGGATTCTTCACCCAAACAATCACATAATATAAATTCGGTTTAATGGCAGCCATGTGGTAGCGTCATATGCTCGATTCCTGTGGGATGTAGCAGAAGAGGGAGAAGAGGAAGAGGAAGAGGAAGGAGAAGAGGTGGAAGAGGAAGCCCAACGTTCCCGCCAATACTCAGCTGTAGGCCGCAGGGTCAAGCACAACAACCGGCCCATAGCATCGCTATAGGGTTTGCGACTCCAATGCGATTCCCCTCCACTTACAACTTCTACTCGGACTAAGATCAGGTGACTAAGGGGGTCCTTAGTCACATGACTAAGTGATCTCAGCTCTTGCAACTCATTAAAATCCAATGACTCAGATTAATCCAATTTAATGAAGGAAAATCTAGTAATTGCATGACTTTATTAATTTTCAATTATTAATTAATTTAAAAATCCTATAATTTTCCAAGCGTCTCTTCCGCGGGCGAAAATTTTCCCGCGGCGTCTCCCCTCTTCCGCCATTTTCTCGGTGGCATGCGCTTTTGAAATTTCCCCAAGGCATCCCTGGGAAATATATATTCCCCCTCCATGGAGAGAGAGAGAGAGAGAGAGAGAGAGCTTTTCCTGTGTCGTCGAGAATTTTCACCCGTGATGAGATTTTTCGACGACAGCGATAGTTTTGTAATGATTGTCGTTATATTTTGTAATATTTGTAAGTCTGGTTTGTAATGTTTATAGACAACTCGGTTTGTATTGTTTGTCATTTTGGTATGTTTATGTTGATGCCAAGCTAAAATAGCTGACCTCGAACGTTGTAGAGTCCGGAGAGCATTGACCTTTTGATTTGTTGTTGGATTCCAGCTCTTGAGATGAATACTTGCAAAAGAGGACCCGCCGGTTGTGGTCGGCTGGGACTTTCTCCAAAGCTCAAGTCAGTACTTGGAAATAACCGGGAGCGGCGTATAGAGTCGGCTCTGGGGAGAAAGAAAGAGAAGTTTTAGGGTTGGTAGTTGCCAATTCGCTGAGAAGAAGTTCGTCGGGAATTCCCCTTTTCCTATTTCGTTCAGAGAAAATGAGTTCCCTGGAATTGAGATGGATTGCCGAGGAAACAGAGATGGATCCGCGCGCTTCACCGTTACCATCAGATGCGGTGAGGCGCGGATTCTGGTTTTTCTCCCAAATTCGACGCCTCAAACCAAGACACGTCAGCGATCCGCGCACTTCACCGCCTTCGAGAATGGCGATTTTGTTTCACCGTCGTGGACAAGAGCGGGGAATGCTCTGTGGTCCTCACTATAAATACCACTCCATCCCCCCTCATTCCAACCCACACCACCACTTTTATACTTCTTTCTCCCTCCATTACTTCCCTCTAGTCTCGTTCTAAGTATGCTCTGTGGTTGCGGCTAAGTCCGATCTTCCACATCATAAAGAATTACTAGAGTTTTTATTTTGTTTTCAATCCTTTTCTCTAAAGTTTCGTCGATACTCTCTCGAGCTTTTCGGCAAAAAATGGACGAAGAGGAGGCTCTGAGAGTACGGAAAAAAAATTTCACCTTTTTTTATATTTTTTTTAAATGGGTTTGAAATATTCTAATTTCATTTCATATTTGTTTATAGATGGGTGCTGAGATATACGACCCTCGTTTGTATATCGATCCTGGCCCAAGGGATCGCAAATATTTAAACGAGCAAGAACAACATCGCTCCCGTGCAATTTGGGACAATAATCCGGTAGACACTCTGTACCATATAAATTTTTAAATTATTTCAATAGGTTAAAATTTTTTGTTTTTTTCTAACAACATTGTATTTTTTGTTTTGTTTTTTGTTTTGCAGGAATCACTTATTCCCATCAGTCATCGAGGGACATGTCGATTGCCAAATTGGCATCCTCGTCTCGAGCCCTATCTAGAGAGGACGGGATTGCACATGCTGAGGCATTTCATGCGGCTTGATATCAACAAAGATCTACTTACAGCAATGGCAGAGCGATGGTGCCCCGAAGTGCATACCTTCCACTTTCCCGAGGGGGAAATGACGATCACCCTTAGAGATGTTGCCATCCTCACCGGGCTGCCGGTCACTGGAGAGGCCATCATCGGCAACTCAAGTAAACCCGAAGGTGATTGGGGGCCGTTGATTCTCGAGCGTTTGGGGTTGAACATGCCGACCACAACGCCCGTTCAAGGGGTTGGGCATCAATCCCGTGGCTTATTGAACACATCCAACAGGAGGTTAATTTAGGGCCAGACACCCCCCGAAGATCAGGTGGAGCGATATGCACGCGTCTACCTCATTGGATTGGTTGGTGGATTTCTGATCCCCGACAAGGCAAACCGGTGGATTCAGAATAACATAGCTAAGGAATCCAAGACTTCCATTTATATACCTTCCCATCCCCTCCAACCGACGAGACCAATCCACTGAACAACTCTCCTCCTTCTCTGCACGGAATCTTTTTCCCTCAACGGGAAAAAAAGAAACACTGGGAAGGAAAACCGAAAAAACAAAAAACATGAAAAAATGCTTCTCCGGAGCTCCTCGACGCCGGCCCTCAAGAACCTTGTGGGGCATTGCTGCGTGGTACCTGAAATCGATGCTAGTCTGACATCCCATGTCAGCCCTAAATACTCCCCGCTCCGCCATGCGCCGACCTCGCCGTCTCTGACGTGGACCTCATCGGAGGGAGATCTGAAATTGTTTTCGTCCAACAAAGGGAAATCCAAGAAGCAGCCCAAAGAGGGAACGAACCATCACCACTACTCAAAGCGCCGGCCTCCCTCGCCGTCGACGGCGATCGTGGCTGTGCCAGCTTTGTCGAGGACGGCGTCGCCGCTGCAGAGGACCTCCTTGGAAGGGGATCTGAAATTGGGGGGATTTCATCGATCGCGGCGATGGAGTCGGCGGGAGGATCCGACGGCGGAGGCAAGGGAAGGTTTTCAGACAGCGGCGAGGAAGGGGCTTGGAGTGAGATGCCGCGGCCGGGGATGGAATCCATGGACAGATATTACAGGGATATGACCACAATGTACCTAGGCGACGGGAATTGGCTTTCCAATTACGCCAAGTTCTTGAAGGAGACCCGCGACGACGTCGGTGACGGCGGCCCCCTGTCCATGTACGACGACCTCATATGGAACAACCACAGGGACGACGACTATGCTAACACCTACTTCATTCAGGCCGTCTAGTCTTCCCCCAACGACTGGTAAATCCCTTTGTGCCGATCAATCAATGTTCGGATTCTTCACCCAAACAATCACATAATATAAATTTGGTTTAATGGCAGCCATGTGGTAGCGTCATATGCTCGATTCCTGTGGGATGTAGCAGAAGAGGGAGAAGAGGAAGAGGAAGAGGTGGAAGAGGAAGCCCAACAGTTCCAGCCAATACTCAGCAGTAGGCCGCAGGGTCAAGCCCAACAACCGGCCCATAGCATCGCTACTGGGTTTGCGACTCCATTGGGATTCCCTCCACTTACAACTTCTACTCTCGGACTAAGATCAGGTGACTAAGGGGGTCCTTAGTCACATGACTAAGTGATCTCAGCTCTTGCAGCTCATTAAAATCCAATGACTCAGATTAATCCAATTTAATGAAGGAAAATCTAGTAATTGCATGACTTTATTAATTTTCAATTATTAATTGCATGACTCCATTGGGAAATTTTCCCGCGGCGTCTCCCCTCTTCCGCCATTTTCCCGGTGGCATGCACTTTTGCAATTTCCCCAAGGCGGCCCCGGGAAATATATACTCCCCCTCCATGGAGAGAGAGAGAGAGAGAGAGAGCTTTTCCAGTGTCGTCGAGAATTTTCACCCGTGACGAGATTTTCCGACGACAACGATAGTTTTGTAATGATTGTCGTTATATTTTGTAATATTTGTAAGTCTAGTTTGTAATGTTTATAGACAACTCGGTTTGTATTGTTTGTCATTTTGGTCTGTTTATGTTGATGCCAAGCTAAAATATCTGACCTCGAACGTTGTAGAGTCCGGAGAGCATTGACCTTTTGATTTGTCGTTGGATTCCAGCTCTCGAGATGAATACCTGCAAAAGAGGACCCGCCGGTTGTGGTCAGCTGGGACCTTCTCCAAAACTCAAGTCAGTACTTGGAAATAACCGGGAGCGGCGTATAGAGTCGGCTCTAGGGAGAAAGAAAGAGAAATTTTGGGGTTGGAAGATGCCAATTCGCTGAGAAGAAGTTCGTCGGGAATTCCCCTTTTCCTATCTCGTTCAGAGAAAATGAGTTCCCTGGAATTGAGATGGATTGCTGAGGAAACAGAAATGAATGACCTATTTATAGGCGCATCTTGCTCCTGGCAGGGTGGCGTATCATAAATAAAGAATAATATCATTAATTAAATTATTGCTATATCTAAGGGTTGAGAAACTTACCTTGATTGAATGTAAATACACATATTGACATTGTTATTGTATAAATGCATCCATGTTTACCTAGTTAGCTTCCACGTATGTCAACGTGGGTTGTGCATGGGATGATTAATATAAAACTTAACTTGGATTAGGGAAATGTTACCTGGTGGAGAAATACAAAATGACATACGTGTCATTACTTTGCTTAATTGAAATCTCTGGTTGGTGGGGAAAGATGGTGCAATGTATATATTCATTTACCCTTTCCCTTTATCTCTTACGTGGAAAAGAATGGGGAGTTTTATGATGGGTAGGAAACTAAGCTTATGACTAGCTGAATCCATATACACGTGTAACAAAACAAGCATACTGATTTTTTGGTTTAGACTTTCCAACCACTTAAGTATGGGAAGAAACACACTTGGCGTCCTATGTGTCAATTGGGTGAAAACATACAGTGAGAAGTGAGGGGTAATATATTATCCCATTGCCCTTTCTTCTGCCACGTAGCTTAATAGTGTTATAGGTTTTGTGAGGGTTTATCAGTTGCCCCCTTACTAATAGGGATGGTAGGGATCCTTATTAGTAACCCTACTCATATAAATAGGGGAGAGCTTTCCCCTCACCATTTATTCCATTCCACCCTTCCTCCCTCATTCTGTTCCCCTTCATCAGATTATGCGAGTGAGAGAGGTTAGCTCTACCTTCACAAAATCTCATGTTCGTGAGACATACTGGGTGAAGAAATCATTTATCTACCCATCTCCATCCTTCAGCCACCAAGTTGCTAGTTTTTCATCCATTGGTCAAGTGAAGTTCATTTTCGTCACACAATGCTGCACCCACCATTACCATTGTTAATCTTAGGTAATTCTTCCTTCCCTTCATCTACGTAATGGTTGCCTTATTTTTACATGAAATTTGTTTATTGATTTATCATTTATTAATAATATTTATGTGTTATTATTTTTGTTCTTGGAGCTAGCATGTCAAAAGAAAAGTCCCGTGCATCTGAACGCCGAGGGATTATCTAATCCACCAATGCCTCTACGCCCAGTCCCATGTTCGGAGCCAGTTCGTGGGAGGATCATGTGCCTCTAATCATCGAGACACACCAACATTCTCTATCCGACCATGGCATGGTATGTTTCATTCCACATCGCATTTCTCAGAATGGGCTATGATAGGTAGGGGTGGACGTTTTAATCGTAATGAGAGTTGGGTACAAAGTACTTTGTTGCAATTTGATATGTCGTGCCACTGGGAGTATGCGGTCCCGACACGGTATACTACCCCAGGCAATCGTGGTGTGGGATGGCATGCTGTATATCGAGCATCCCTCGATTATGGGCTTCGTTTACCATTTCCAACGTGGCTATGTGATGTGATGCGGAGATCTCATTTGACCTTAAGCATGGTGACACCGGGATTTTGGACACTCGTTGCTGCTTTTCATTTGGGTTGTCACAGGGCTGGTGTGTCACCCTCAGCAGAGCTTTTTTATGCATGATTCTACCTTCGTGGTGAAGCTACTGGATGGTCTCTTCATAGTAGATCTAATGCGCTTGGCCTCGTGACTCCATATGGTCGTGCAGACCAGGGTTGAGAACGTGAGTTTTTCTATTTCTTTCCAGCTTCAGGTGAACTTTCTTCTGAGGGTGTTATGATCCCTACTGAATGGAGGGATATCGAGTTGGAAGGACTTCACAGACAAGCAGTACGTAGAGAATACGTAGTACAGAGAGAGCTAGCCGCCAAAGTGAAAAGGATATCAGAAGGAGGGCGGATTAACGTTGAGACTCCTGAGGCTCGGGCTATCCTCTTTTTCATGGAATCATGGTCTATAATGATGGTACGTTTGGGTATTGTTTGTTAATATTTGAGTGATTCCTTATTACCTATATGTTTTTTTTCGTTTTTGTTTTTGCAACCTACTCGCGCCCTATTTAACGCGAGGTTACCGCCGCCTGCCCCCCGTCCTCAAAGTGGTGTGGTGATCCGTGAAATTTCTGAGGAGCCCGAACCAGCAGTGCCGACTTCAATTGGTGGTCAAAACAAACGAGTGCCTCGCTCCTCTCCATATCGAGGAAAGAATTATGGTTCAAGAAGGAAATTCGAGGCTAGTAGCTCGAGCCATTCTGCCCGCGGGGGCGAGCAGAGTCATTTTCAGACGGCGAGAGCATATCATAACTCAAAGTCCCATCACCGGGGTGGTCCAGGCACCCCAGGTAGAGGAAGGACAGATGTCCCACTTGTTATGAACTACCAAACCTTGCGTGATATCGAGAATCAATTTCCTCCTCTTGAAGGCGAGGCTGTCGGTGTTTGCTTTGCGTTATCGCAAAACCAGGTAATTTTATTGTTAATTAGTCAATGTAAATTGCGATGAGTTAATTAACCTTAGTGTTTCCTACAGATGAATCAATATGCCGCCGAGATGGAGAGGCGCGTAGCGAGAGCAAGGGCAGAGGTTATGACAGGTCAACAAAATGTTGTACGCGTAGAGCATGATCTTCGTAATCAAACTAGGAAAGTGGAAGAAGCAAGGGGTCGGGCCAGCGAGGTTGAGGCACTCCTTCGCAAAGTTCGAAATCGTCAAATGATCACTTTAGAGTGGCTATAAGAATTGGAAGCCTCAGGAGCAGCATTGCTACAGGAGATGACGAGACCCAAGGAGGATCATGCTGCTGACCATGAAGTTCTTATGGCAGAGCGTGATGAAGCTCGTGCAAAGATAGTACGAATGCAACATCAAATGCAACAGTAGGTGGGGGAAACCTCAGGAGGTGCCATGCTCTTAGTGGGTTCACGTGACATATTTCCAGAGGCTGAGTCTGACGAGGCACGTATCCCAAGAGAGGCGGATACATAATCGGAGGAGTTCCATCCGAGGAGGTGGTGATGCATCGTGATAACATGGAGATTGAGCCTTTCATTTCAACCCCGATATTTGATACGGCTTCTGCGGATCAATCCTTTATTGCTGCAATGGATAGCCCAATCCCGTCATAGCTGGCAATGTCTGCCGAGAGTACCTGGGTGAATGAAATACTTGGCTTCGGTCCTCCTATGTGAGATAGTGTAGCTTGCAGCAGTAGCAAACTTTTCTCTGTACAGGTAGTATATTGCTCCGCAAAGGTATTCAGACATATTACCTATGTGTGCCATGTTTATGTAGCAGCATATCTTGCCTATGTACATTAGTAGTTCATCATAGATATGTAACCGTGCATTTTGCGTTGTACATATAGCAGTTTTTAATAAAACTAAGTGGCGACGTATCACCATTTTATTTCTAACCTTCTGTACATGTCGCAACAAACACGTAATACATATTATGGCATATACTATGTACGTATTATGGCATACTCGATACATATTATGGCGTAAAGTACCTTCGAAGGTGCATAGCGTTCCAAGTGTGGGGAATGTTTCGGCCACTAGCATCAGAAAGCTTGACAGTGTTTGGACCGACCACTTCGCGTACTCTGTAGGGTCCTTCCCATGGTGGATTGAACTTTCCTAATCTTGTTTTGTGGTAAAAGTTGCAGCGGAGAAACCATTCACCTTCACATATTGGTCGCTGTTTTACTTTCGTATTGTAGTAACGAGCTACACGTGCCTTCATGGCTGTCATTCTGAGGAGAGCGTCTTCTCGACGTTCTTCAATGAGATGGAGGTCATGAACGAGCTCCTGTCTGATTATCGTTGGGGTGAAATGCTTCAATGTGGTAGGAGGAAAGCTCAGTTTGCATAGGGATTACTGCATCTATGCCAAAGGTCAAGGCATAGGGTGACTCCCCTGTGGCTATTTTA